GCCTCCGCCGCCTACCGTTCCGCCGAGAACGGACGCGAACGCGATCGAAGTTACTCGCGCGAAAACGGAAGAGGACGCGACCACGGAGGAGGCCGACGTTAACGGCAACAACCGCGACGGACAACTTGCCGAAGAGAATTTTCGGAACGAGAAGCAAGATTTTACGGAAAAGGAGAGAACCGAGGAGACGGACGATACGGAATCGATGGAGAACTACAACGTTTACGAGGACGAGGGACTAAGAACGAATAAAGTATTGGAGATAATCGAAATAAGGAAGGCGAAGGCTTTCTCGCCGACGATCGCTAATTCTAAGGATGACAAGAGCAAAGGTAAGGGCGCCGAGAACGACCGAGTTAACGGCGATAGCGAGAACGTTCGAACGTATGAGAGAATGAAACCGGAATCGAGAAGCAGAACCATCTCGACGGAAGTCGAAGAAGACTCGGAAGAGGAACACGAGATGAGCACGAAATTTAACGAGCCTATTGATTTTCAATGCGAGACGACGGATCGTTCGGACGATACGGTTTCGTCGTCGATCGATGGACGATCGATCCAAGATTCTTATCGTTCGTGCAACGATATCGGTCCGCGTGAACCGACCGTGAACGGAACAGGGAACGAAAAGGGAAGCGTCGAAGATGACGATACGAGCGAGGAAAGCGACGACGGCGATTACTATTGGCAAAGTAATTTGGCCACCATAGGCGAGGAAGAGGAAACGAATTCTCTCGAATACACGAACGCGTAAGTTTTCTCTCGCGTCGATGTCTAAAGGAATCTATCGAATTTCCTAACCGTTTTCAACAACTTGTCGTTCGACGGCATAAAAAATCTCATTACCGTCTTGGCTACGCGAACGTTTTGTCGGTATCTTATCGTTTGTTCTCGACTCTTCGACGATAAAGTGATTCTTTTTGTCGATTGTTTCGACAAAGAATCATCCGTTATCCATTGCATCGATAAAACGTTTACGTACGTGATTTTGTATAAAATCTGAACGCGAAGGTAAAGTAGACGCGTACAGGAGATTTACGTTCACCTTACGGACCTTAAATGTTTGACAAACGTTTAAAAAAAAGAATTGATCGATAAGCATCCGACGACAGGTTTACGGCGCGAAAATAAGAAACTTTTCGCTGTTTTGCAGGAACAAAGAGTCGAGCGACAGCGAAAGTAACGCGACGGAGAAATCGGAACGGCAGGAATCGCCGAGCAAGAAAGACGCAAGTGGTAAGTAGATAACTTGACGACTTCGTTACTCCATTTACTTACACCTATTTCTTCCCGTTAACGAGAAACGGACGCGTAAAGAAATCGCGTCGCGATTAAACTACGATATCGAGTATTATATATCGAGTAGGAAAGTAGCGGTCCAGAAACGACTGTACCGATAAGAAACTGGTAGCGAAGCGAACAAGCGACAGCGGTACGAAGGTGACAAGTCGGAGGAGAAAAATGTCGCGTTTAAAAGAGCGAACGGTAGGTAAGGTTCTAGACGTTGAGGTGGAAGGAATTCGCTGGAGCGGAGAACGCGCGCGGAACGCACGCCCACGCGTCGCGTCGCGCTTCATAAAGGTTACGCATTAATCTCGGTGCGTTACGCGCGGCCGTTAACGTTCTCTGCTTTCGAGCGAACGAGCCTTCGAAACGGAGGCAGAGATCTCTCGAACGAGAGACAAAGGTGTGTTGCGGCGCACCCTCGACGCTAAGAATTCCTTCTCGCCCCTATCCGGCATCCGAGACCGAACAGGCGCCCGTTGCTACTCATTGTCCGCCAAAGATGGATCGCGACTTACGTGGGAAATCGAAGGCGAAACGATGCGACACCCGGTTCCGCGCGCTAAAAATATCTGTTTCCTGTCGGCTGACCGAATCAAGAGATACCATTGAACCTCGCTCGAAATATTTATCCTCGGACCTTGTATCCGTGCTCGTTGACACGGTACTTTCGCAGACTTTCGCCTAATTGCGAGAGGTTTTGGTAGGCTCGCCTAATACCGGATAATCGTTCGTGCTTCGTGCTTTAATAAGTCTAATCGCGACCCGATAAAACGGGCAAGCACTAAAACGATCGGTCGGCGGGGTAAGATGGCCGTTCGAAAGCGCCATACCAGATTCGTTCGAGCAGTAACGCGTCGCGTTGCACCGACGGATTGGTCCGATTGCCAGCAACGCGGAACGAAGCATCCTCGGGTCGAAAGAAGAGGATTTTTCGTAGGATCGGGAGCGCAGCTAAGTGAAAGATCTCGGAAAGGAAGGCGATCAAGGAGGGAACGGAGGACCTTGAGCGCGGTCAAGCCACCGCAGCGCGTGTTCGTCCAGACGCGGCTCCACTGCCGGAGCCACGGGTATGCGCTTACGATCGCCATATTGTTGTGACTAGCATATACCCCGACAGACCCTGACCAACCACCCACACTCGTCGCGCCGTCTCTCGTGCCTTCCTCCGCGCGTCTAGCTACTATTCACCCGAAGCGCTGCCTGTACGAGTCTCGAGCGATGGAACGCGGTGACACGACCGCCCGCGAATACGTATCCAGCTTCTTTTCTCGCCGATCGTTTATCATTTCCACCGATTATCCGGTTACCGGCTTACGTAACCGGTGTCGATGATCGCTCGTCGGATGGAAACGACGATAATCTCGCTACGCGTGATCCGCGACACGGAGAGACAGGCGGTTCTCGAATACGATTAGCGGCGAGTAGATCGACGGTGGGAAACGTCGTTCGACGAACGAACAAACGAAAGGATCGACCGCCCTCTAACGTATCGCCGCGGTGCGCACGTTCGCGGTGCATTAACCCAGGCAAATCACCGTGATAACTCGCCGTCCGCATCCACGGAACTCTGGTCACGAACGATGATTAGCCGAATCGATCATTCGAAGAAACTATCGATGTTAAATCACCGGAGATGCCTCGAAGCGACGTTGCTCGAGAAACAACGGGGCTAAACGATCGCTGATCGTCGACGGAAGATTGCGCCGTTTAAACGGGCCACCCCGGAACTCTGTCGCGAGGCTTACGACCGATCGTATCTCGACAACGAAAATGCGCGTCGTCGCAGCATTTTTCGGTACTCCCTATATGTGTAATCGTGCGTCGCGTGCCGGCCATAAACATATTTACCATGGATGGACAACCCTTTCGTTATAGTTTATCGATAGAGAACGGAATCCGAAAGGATCTGCTCGGCGCCTACGCGCAACCGATATATCCGATCGAAACGACGACATTCCTGTGCGCCGACCCGGAAGATGCTCGACGCTCCGGCATCGATTCGATTAGTTTCGATAAGTCATACTCCGAGTGTCGCGTGTCTCGCGTGTGAATTGTCGCTCGGAATAATCGAAGCGATCGAAATAAAGTATCGGAAATTATCGAAAGCTGCCGTTTCCCGAAAGTCGTATCGGACGATTTACCGCGTGGCCGTAGCCTCCGTCGTTTCGTGCCTACCTAACAGCGTTCGAAGCTTCGAGTTCCCGCTGCTCGCGAAATACACGCATGCGATACAAGCTCGTGCGTCATCGAGTTTATCGTCGCGGTCCGCGGACGCGTTCGCGTAAATTTTCGGCTTTAAAAGCAACAGCCGCCTTTTACCGCGACGGCCTCGGATCAAAAGGAGACAGGAAACGTCCCTTTACAGTTATGCTCGACCAAACAGGAGAGTACACGGTTCGTCGACTGACTTATCGTCGACGTGGCAGTAACTCGGCCTCGTTGACTCGAGGCGAGGCGCTAAAACACAGCCGAGAAAACGAGCACGAGCCCATCAAGCGGCGACCAGATCCGTGCAGCGAGCTTGCCGCGCGTGATCAGCGCGGATTTTTATCCCTTCGGAATGCCTCCGACTCCGTTGTGAGCGACGACATTGTCCGAATGCTTGTTAGACACCGGTAAAAGATCGGTTTCTTTCGATCCTGTTCGCGAGGACGACCAGTCGTTATCGATAACCTTCGGGTTCGAACGCGCGACAACGACGAACGTTTAATCGGTCAAAAAGTTGTCCAGACCGGCGAGAGAGAGAGAGAGATATATCTCGCGTTGATCGCGACCTCGGATAAAATCACGGTGTAAACGATATTCGTTTTGGCTCGCCCCGAAACTTTTAAGAATCGCGGTGCTCGAAACGAAATATCGCGGGCGACCGCCCGTCGAATCTCGTGGTGCCACCTGCTGGAAGCTCTCGACCTAAGCGTTTCGTATCGCGCGAAACTAAATTAAACTCGGAAACGAGACCGAATCAGCGGCGACGACGTCGACGATATCGCGTTCGAATCGTTCGATGCGATGTCGAAAAGCGCGAAACCCGAGATAAACGAGCATACAGGTAATCGTTTGTCCCGTGTCTATGTTCTCGAAACGCCATCCTTCGAGAAAAGCGTAATAAGATCGAACGCGACTACGGTCCGTGCATATTGCACGAGCGTGTAAACCCGGCTTAAGATTCCTCGAGCGAGCGGCTGCTCGGTGGTCGCGTTCTAACGCGCGGCCCGGCAGAAAAAAAAAAGAAACCGGTCGAGCATCTTCCGTTTCGCGAAGGAAGGACTGGGCGAGTTCAAACTTGGCGCGAGCAGCTCTATAAATGCAGAAAGAGAGGGAGAGAAGCCGGACCTCTGGTATCGTTGGAATGCGAGAATCTGCACGGCTTGCACGAATTCCTGGTGCGAGAGCCGGACCAGCTCTACCAATTAGATCCACGACGGGATCGTACTCCGAAAGTTTCGAGTTTACGATTTCGGTCGGAACGACACCGGCGAGACTTTCGTTTTCAGCGTTTTCTCGTCACCCGATCGTTCGTCGCCCGCGAATAGAATAAAACGCGACACCGATTTTTCATCGCGACGCGACGTCGGCGTTCTTCCGCGCCGCTTTCCCACGCGTTCGCGCTCAACTTTGCACGGTCAACATTCTTGCGCTAACTAATCAACGACGCGTGACTA